TCCAGCCCCCTGCACCAGGCAGGAAAGACAATTGGGGTCAGGTGACCCCAGCAAAGTGACCGTGCAAGTCTCCTCTTGAAGATTTCCAGGGTAGGCTCTTGCACCACCTCTGGAGGGAGCTTATTCCACAGTCTGGTCACCCTAGATGTGAAGAAGTTTTTCCTGATGTTGAGCCTGAAACGGTCTTCCAGGAGTTTATGACCATTATTCCTTGTTTTCCCCAAGGGTGCCCTGGTGAACAGTTGTTCACTGAGCCCTTGATGTACGCCTCATGTAGCAGTAAGCCACTATCAAGTCCCCTCTCAGCCTTCTCTTTTTCAGGCTGAAGAGTCCCAGGTCCCTCAAACTTTTCTCGTATGGCTTGCCATGCAAGTCTCTGATATGGGTGGCCCTTCTCTGGACTCTCTTGAGCTTTACCATGTCCTGCTTGAAGTGCGGCACCCAGTACTGGATGCAGTACTCCAGCTGCAGTCTCACCAATGCCAAGTAGAGTGAAAGAATCACTTGCCTAGTTTTGCTGGAGATGCATCGATTGATGCATGCCACGGTATTATTTGCCCTGTTGGCTACAGCATCAAATTGCTGGTTCATATTCATACTGTGGTCTATTATTACCCCCAGGTCCCGTTCATTCGCAGTGCTGGTCAGTTTGGCATTGCCAAGCCTGTAGATGTGTAGTGGGTGGGGTTTATCCTCAGGTGCAGCACTTTACATTTCTCAATGTTGAACTTTATTTGATTCCAATCCGCCCAATATGCCAGCCCCTCTAGGTCCACCTGTATCTGCAGCCTATCTTCAAGCATGACTATGATTCCCCATAACTTGGTATTGTCCACGAACTTGGCCAGTGAGTTCTTCACCCCCACATCCAAATCAGGTTCAGATGTTCAATAGAAGGGAACAATCAGAGCTTAAAAATACAATACTCAGCCTACAGGTATGGAGTATGGATATAAAAAGTTAAGTCTTTAAACACTTAAACAATAAGTATAGTTATACTGGTAATTATTGGTTAACAGTTAGCGCAGGGAAGGGAAGCAGTGCAGTGCCCAGAAACAGGAAGGGCATCAGGGCAGGAAGAAGGGAGGGAGGGAGGGATGAGTGTGGAGAAGGGGAAGGGGAAGTGGGAGGGGTGAGGGGGTACTGGTACTAGTACTTATAGTCTGCTCCCTCCCTCCCAGCCTGCTGGTAGCTGCACTGGGCTGGAAAAGCCCCTCACCTGTTGCTGCCACCTGTGGCTTTATATGAGCTGTGTTGTCTGGCATGGATTGCTGCTGCCTTCCCCCCTCCCCCCCCACCAAAGGCTCCGGGGAGCAGCTTCTAGCAGTAGCTGTGTATGTGCAGGTCTGTGCACAGCCCCTGGCTCCCCGCAGAGCTCCAGGCAGGCAGCTGTGGCTGTGGCGCCTCCCCCACAGTGGGACGGGGCAGGTGCTAGCCCAGTCAGGACTAGGTATATATTCTCGGTTAACCATTTAACTGATATAATTAGTAGGGCGATGCAAAGCTTCAGTTGCTAATTCGATTCAGCGGAGATTCAGCCCTATTTGGTGGCTGAATCTCTGAATCTGAATCAAATCAGGAGACCCTTTAACCTCTCCAAATCGATTCAGAAAAATTCAATGATTTGAATATAGACACAGCTTTAAATGTTTTTCCTACATACCTCAAGGAAGCAGGTGGCTCATGAATGCTGTGATGCTGGGGTAGATGGAGCATCCCACAGGAGTGCAAGGGAGTCCCCAGCATGCTTGGCAGCAGACCCAGAAGTGAACAAGAAGCATCGAATCTTCAGATTTAGATTTGGCCGAATCGAATCAGGGACAGTGATCCAAATCAATGAATTGAATCACTGTCCCTGATTCTGTCTGAATCCAAATCCAAATTGAATAGGGCCCATTTCGCACACCCCTAATAATTAGAGGAGGTTAAACAAATAATTTGTTTAATGGTATTTAGATCCCCAGTGTGGAGCCATCCCACTAGCTGTGCTCTAGTGTCTTGTACGTCATCTCTGTTGGCAGGTATCCAGAAGATACAGAGAGATGACACAGAGAAACATTGACATCTTGTGGCCTGGCAAAGCCAGAAGGTACCATATTTTATGACGTATAAATCAACACCATGTATAAATTGACCCCATGTTTCCATACAAAAAAATTAGGATTTTTGTAATCCGGTGTATAAATTGATCCCACCTCACTGGTGGGGGGCGTGGCTGGGTGTGCTGGCAGTGGCAGAAGATGGTGGGGATGGTGCAAGAGGTGCTGGAAGGTAGGGCAGGCTCGTGGGAGAGGTGACATGCTGGGGGGCTCCAAGGAAGTTGGATTAGGCCCCTGGGAGCTCGGGCAGCACACAGCCTGCTGGCAGCCCACTCAGGTGGCCCCAGGGGGCACCATCACCACAGAAAGAAGGACTGGGTCCCCTGCAGCTCAGGGCCTGACTGGCTACAGTGGCCTTCCCCACACCCCTGCTTGACACCCCGCACTGCTCAATGGGCGAGGCAGACCCTTTCTGGGCAGTGCCAGGTGTCCTGCCAGCTGCAGTAGCCTGCTGAAGGCAGAAGTGGTGAGAGGCCCAATCCTACTTTTGGCAGAGCCTACCCCGTCCCGTGTGCCCAGGGGTGAGCTGCTGGTGGGCTGGGCAGCCCCTGAGCTGTGGGGCCTGGTCCTTCCCTCCATGGTGGTGCCCCCCGCCCAGGGCTAGCCAGGCAGGCTGCCAACAGGCCATGTGCTGCCCGAGCTCCCAGAAGACTGATCTAACTTCCCTGGAGCCCACCAGGATACTGCCTCTCCGGGTGGCAGGGTGCCAGTGTGGGGTCCAGGCAGCGCTGCTCGCAGGGAACAGTGTATAAGTCAAGGTGGAAATTTAAAGGTAAATATTTTGGCTTCAAACCTCGACTTATACACCATGAAATATAGTAATAGATATAAGCTCAAAAATGTGTATGCTGTATAGGACTCTAGCCTCTGTTCCATTTTATACACTGTTCGGTTCCTAACAAGTGAGAACAGGACCCATTATGGTAGAAATAAAACCTCACCTATCAAAAATGACTTTCCTTCTATGTTTTTCTTGAAATTAAGCTGTGATATTTATGCTTTCTGACCTGTCCTGAAATCTCACGCTTAACGATTTGCAAGAAAATATTCAATTCTTAAGAATCATTTTTTTAGTTGCTTGCAAATAAGGGAATGTATCCAGTTTCAAATCAGCAGACTTTTGTTACTTTCTGAATCTTCCCCACCAGTCTCATTTAGTATTTCTTCTATTGCTACATATTTTGCCATAAACTGGTTACAGCAGATCCACAGTTTTATTTTTTTTAAAAGAGTAGCAATATATCTAGATTGCAAATATTATCAGACCCTGGCATATCTTTACCTAGTGGGCATTATAGAACCTCTATGAAGGGGGTATTTGATTAAATGAATACATTCATTCTGTATTTCATACTTTAAAGCCAATGCAAAGAAACAACAACTGAGATTTACTTATAATTAGGACATCCACTTAATTAACTAAAAATCCTGAAAAGGGTCATAAAGATTAAGGAAAACAAACTACATTTCACATTAACCTGAAGAAAATAAAAATTAAACTCTTGTAAAGATATAAGTGTAAGATGGCAAATAACTATTTTCTATTAACTAGATGTTTAGACGAAATCTGAAAAAGCTGACTGATTTCAAACAGAAGTGTTTAAAAGCTGCATTCTATTCATTGTTCTGGTAATCCTGAAAACTCCATTATCTCTTTAAACTGAAGACTACCACATTATTACAAGCCTAGCTCTGGTGGCCAATCTGTCCATAAATGATCTATAGCCTTCCACATCTTTGACACTACATGCCCATGGCAGCTTTATATTTGACTGGCCTTTCTAAGGTCCAAGTGCCAATACTGATCAGTAATAGAGACACTGAATAATACAGACAGGCACAAAGACTACTTGCAGATGTTTAAAAAACCCTCCAAAAAACACACTTTACCAGAAGAAGCTGTGCATTACTTTGATCTGGCTCCATAGTATCTGTATAAATTGGTTGCTTCTGTGGATCTTTTTGGCATTTTTAGCTAAAGTTGGTTCAATCAGCTATTATGCAAACGCGTCAAAAAAGCCCCATTAAAGTGCCCAGTCTATACACATCGGGTGACCCAGGTCCAACTAACATGCTTCCTCTTCTGGGCATAAGCTGGCTCGGTGTGGGAACACACTGAGTTTAAAGTGCTTTTTTTTTTCATGTCTGCAAGCAGCCAAAATGACCAATATTTTACAATAACTAGAGATGCACCGATGCATCAGTCCATATCATATCGGCACCGATAAAAGGAAAATTGACATTATCGGCAATTGGCTTTTTTGGCCAATGTGGCTGATAATGTTGCCGATAAATGCTGTGTACAGCTGCAGCATTCACGTGGCCAGCCTGGCAGCTTGGAGAACAGTGTCCAGCTGATAAGTCTTTTGGGGGGACATGAGGAGGAGGGCGTGTAGGCCGCCCCCCCCATAACTCCCCTCCCAGTGCCTGCCCTGAGCACAGCCCTGGCCCAACCCCCCCTGCCAGGAACAGCCCAGTGCCACCCCCTAGCCCTAGCCTACAGCAGCAGCTTACCTTCATCCCATGCACCAATCTGGGGGGTGCACACACCACCCCCAGAAGGTACGCACACCGGTAGGGGGCACACCCCGCTCCCTGCACCCCCGGGACGAGCTGCTCACGGCTCCTTACCATGCCCCGCCCTGGCTAGGCAGCACCTGCCCCTGTCCCAGCTCCACTCCCTCCCTCACCACAGCGACCTCGATCTACCCCACACAGGTTCCTTCCCCACAACAGACTTACCAGCCGGATGCTGCTCTCCAAGCTGCCAGGCTGCATACCAGCAATCAGATCGGTATTGGCCAATATGGCTTGTTAATAATCGGCCATTGGTATCAGTCAAAAAAATCTTTATCAGTGCGCCCATAATAATAACATAATAATTAAAATTTAATCACTTACTCTTGATCCTTTTTCAGGAAAGCACTGGCAAACTGAACAATCACGGCCTTCACATGGACCAATGTATGCATATGTGCCCTATAAGAAAAGGGGGGAGGGGTTATTTCTTCATGTGGGGTCCACCCATGAAACCATACAATTAATTTTACTTGAAGTGAAACAAATACCATCACAGAGTAATACAAGATTTTCCAAAATAAGGACACTTTCATTCAAATTAATCACTGTTAAAAATGTCGTGTAGATTCCTAGATTTTCTTTAAGTTCTTCCAAAGACAGCTTCTTTATAAATAATTAAGAAAGGCACTAGAGCTTTCTGACTGGCCAAGAATCTTATTTTGAAGCCTGTTTTAGTAGAGTTCTGCCTGATGCACCCTGATGGTATGTCAAGAATAATGTCCCACTGTACAAGATATTTGGTTTAGGAGTAACCTTTAGGACTATACTCTAGCAAGAATGTAAAATGCAGGATTGGACTGCAAGTTGGATGAATGATGTGGGATGGGTCAGACCCACAGACCCTTCCCTTCTGGTCCAAACTGGGCATTCTGGATGCTTGGCTGCTGCCATGGGTTTCCCATGACACTGCTGGCACTCCAGCACTGAAGCTCTTTAGTGCTCGCCTCCCTTTGTGTCCACCTTTTCCCCACTGTTCCAGGGAGGCCTGCCTCTGCTTTGGGGGACGGGGACTTTGGAGTGAGCAGGTGACTTTCCGTTGGGAATGGTAAGAAGCCACAGTGCCAGGCTCTTTCCCACAGTGCTGATGGAGCTCCAGGACTGTGGCTGTCACCTGGGCACTCGGCTACAGCAGCAGAAAGGTCTTCTCCATCAAGGCTGTGGTCCAGATGACCCAGCTCTATAGGCTGGATCCAGTCCATGTGGCCACATGTTTGACACCCCTGTGCTAGAGCATCTTTAACCCAATGTATTCAGGATGATGGTTTTTGCATCTGAGGTGAATTATTATCTTAGATTCTTCAGTGTTATGTCTGGGACTTATCAAAACTAAGAGCAAGAAAAGAAACAGAAATATTTTTGTAAGGCATGATGAATGGACACCGAATTGTGAATTGAGAGAACTGGAGTTTATCCCCAGCTCTGCCACTGACCTGTTGTATGATCTTTGGCAAATCACATCACCTGTCTATGCCCATTTTTGCTACCCATGGCAGCAGCCAAGCATTCATTTCCCGCCCCCCCCCCATTCTGTTTTAAACTATAAGATCTTATTATGTGTTTATGAAGTATTTAACCCAAAAGAGGTGGTAGAAACCCAGGATCTTCTCCCACTACACACTGGCCAGAAGAGTAGTTTAGGAGCACACTGCAGCAAAATAGCCAAGCTTCAAAAGGGTTGAAGAAACGTGCTCCCTCATAGAGAAAAAAGAACTAAGTCACAATTAATTTCCCACTGCTTTTGGGACAGTGCAGCTATATATTTACTCTTATGTAGGAAAGATTCAGAAGTTAAAATCTAACCAACAACAATTCACTGGACTGGGCAATTTCTTAAGTAATACTGTAATATGTTCTATAAACAGTCCAACCTCACAGGAGTGAATCCTGTTCAAATCTCTATTCTATCTAGCAAAAATAACTTTTCCACGCTCTATCATATGGGGTTTGGTGTGCCCTTATTCTACATGCATAAGTAAAGAGAAGATGTGATATACTGTTCTGTAGTGAGCTGGGCGTCACTTTCAGTCACGCTCATAAGCAGATTGCTCCAGCGTCTCTTAGAAGTTGGGGATCCAAGCTGACATTGTTTGGCAGGGTGAAAATCTCTGAATGCAAAGGTTATAGGACAATATCAGAAAGTTCTAACATTTAAATTTTCTAGAGGAAAAAGAAGAACAGTAAAGCCTCAGCATTGTTTGCGACAATTTACTAAATTACAGGTTGGCAACCGTCAGCTGAGAAGCCAATGCCTGTGCAGCCATTGGATCTGGTCTGCTGATATGGGGCTTTGACTGCGGGCATTCTCTCTCCATGCTGCCACGTGAAAAAACAGCAACAGTAGCCAGGTTCTAGCTCCTGCCCATCTGCCTATGACCTGGGGTGGGTCATTCCAGTCGAGAGGTGAAAAAGGTAGATTAGGACTAGATAGAATATATGGATATAGTAGAAAAAAAAGATACAAATATGTCTGTTTAAAGTTGGCATAGAATGTGCCTATCAATACCATTTGATGCTTATGCAACATTTAATTGCCAGATCAATTAATGAAATCTAATATTCAGATGTAAAACTCTGCCAAAATCTCTGGTTACTTGATTACCAGAAATATTAACAAATGAGAAGATATTACAAAAAAGCCAGCAAAATGATCAAGAAGGTGGAAGTGACATAAAAGGAATGCTTAAAAAAGCTAAACAGAAAACTAACATCCAACATAAAAATCTGCAGACATTTTAAGAAGTAAATCCAAGGAGGGAGAGGAATCATAACAAAGGTGCTACAAGGTGCTTATAACAAAGGGTAAAGTCATCTAGTTAAAACATCCCAAATCCAGGCTAAATAGCTGGAAGACTTTTCCCACAAAAAGATCTTGCACCTCATCTACCTAAACCTAAAATAATGCATTTTCTCACACACAACATGCCCTGGGATAAGATATACATCTTGTTTTGGGAAGGCAGAATGGAGATTTTTTTTCCAGAATCACGTCTGTATAGAGCAAGGACTATGCAAGGCTGTGAAATAGAAGAGTGACCAAGAATATCTAGCAGGGAGTAATATGCCAGAAGAAAGGTTAGCTTGATTAATGGAACATCAGGACCATTAAAAAGGAGAGATGATCATTAACATCTCTGGAGTAAAGAACAATGAGCCAAATGACTCCCTCAGCTACCTGAAAAGAAATGCTACTGCTGCTGCTAGGCAGTTGGTTTTGAAACAGGAACCAAAGCAACAGGAATCAAACCACCAAAGGGTGGTTTTGGGGAAAAATGGTGCATGTGGTATGCAAGAAAAATATAGTAACTGACAACTGATTTCTGCATGGAACATGCATGCATGGCATTGAACTGGTCTAGAAATGCCCTCTCTCTCTTCTATCTCAAACTTCTATAAATACACTGTTAGTAACAAAGAAATACATGACTGCTTCTCAGTTACCTTGACTTAAGGTAAACAAAACAAATAGCCTAATATATCAGAATATATCATTATAGTTGATTTACATTGTGTTTAGCAAAGGAATTGCTGACTGTTTTGCCCTCCAAAAGCAATGTTTTTAAATTTTGTCACACTTCCAGCAAATGAGTACTATTAAGTAAAGGAACAGTCCCTCTGCCTCTGCATCACATAGTAAAGGCTGAAATTTGTAACACTGTTTAGCCAACTTGAATATCCAGCTTCTGGGTGTCTAAAGGTCCTAGATGGCTTTGAAAAAAAATAACACAAGTATTAAAGAGACTATTCATACATTTTTAATTTAGATAAATTAGTTGAAAATTACATGTGAATATGCAAATTTAGTGGACGTTTTGCCACTGATTTCAGTAACAGCAAGGGTTCACACTTCAGCTTTTCAAGGAGAAAATTACTGGTACTCAAAAACATCAGATAAGAGGAAAATCTGCTTATTTAAAATATTTTCAGAAAATTTCACTTATATTTTTTAGTACTAAAATTCAATTAATAAGAGGTCATGATTCTGTTTTATACAGGCTTTCCCCTGAGAATAGTAATCTACATTATTGCCATAAAACCTTGACTCTCTTGGAATGTCAAAGGAATGCCATTTTATACTAACAAGTAAAGCTGTTTTTCTTTCTATTTATTTAATTAAATACCTACCTCAGTTTATAGCCTTGTACTAAAGATACAAATACTACAGCAGTCAAAACAAAGATGAAGAGGACAGCTGTTTTAAAATCCTTATTGTAATGAGTATGCATCGTCTCAGAGTTAAATGGTGACCTCAAATTGCTTCACTAACAGTAATCTATGATAGTATTAACTGCACATCGCTTTAATATCCTACTTTCTTGTGTTCATTTTCTGGTGAGATCAGAATAATAACATAAGGACTGGAAGTACTCCAGTTTTTCAATCACTGTAGCAGTCATTGTTCAGCTATTAACAGCAAGTCAGGTATGACACTGTCATTCTGCCAACAGTTCTGTTCCACATTTGTGTATGTTTGACACCCCAGGGCTCTAGCACAGCTACTAAGTAAAGCATTTATCTGATTTATTTATTGGATAGATACTGAAAAAAACACTACTTTAACAGCTTCATGACTGAGTGTGTGCTTCAAATGGAACAACCTTTGTAAATAAGAATATTGTGGTCCCATCCTGTCAAAGCCTGTTAAAGGAAGTATAAAAGAAAGTATTGTGGAATACCTAACCATTCACCTTTCATGGACAGAAATTAAGACCTTCACCAGCAAAAATCTTAAACAAATCTGTTTATGTAGTTGGCAGTTTATACACTTAACTGAGTTGCCAGTGCAATACATTGATCTGGGCATTACAATTATAACTACGTACATTTGGAAGGGAATTAATTGCACTTCCTTATGAAAATCTGGCTCATTTGAATGAGGTTGGACCATGTTTATATTTTTGAGAATTTTCTTTCTAATGGCAATGTATAATCTATCTTTAAAACTTTGATAATTAGCAGTGTTAGATATTGAGTTCTATATACCGTTAAACTTTGGTTATCTCTTCATGCAGGCTTTATTGCATGAGATTTAATATTGCAGGCTCACTGGCTGTTTAATCACTGGGTCAGATTCTTGAGTGCAGTACAGATTTTGTCCTAAACTACTGGTATTGTCTGAAGCCCCTGGGAAACTTTGCTGTATCTAGCTTATTCACCCTCCTGATATAACTCTCAGCCCCTCATTCAGCAGCTGCAATCTAAAGGATGAATCCTATTTTACTTTTAAATGGCTAACTAGTACTTTCACAGATGCATTTATGCAGTATTTCACCTGTGGCATATTACACTTGTCCAAATTACAATGAGCCCTGTATATATGTGTGTGCATACCTGTGTGTCTGCATGTGTGCATTGGCATGTTTGTATGTGCATGTATGAGTGCGTGTGTGTGTCTCTGCATGTCCGTCTTTGTGTATGTGTGCACATGCATCTGTGTGTGCATGCATGTGTGTATGTATGTCTGTGTTCATTGCAGGGAGAGTGCATTTGTGTCTGTGTGTCCATGTGCAGAGAGTAAGAGTAGAGCGCGTGCCCGTCTGTGTACATGTCTGTGTGTGTGTATGTTTGGCCATAGTTGGGAACAGGGATCAGGGAGAAGAGATGGGCATGTGCCTCCCCACCCCCAGCCCAGCATGGTCTACCCAGCCTCTCCCACAAGCACCAGGAGGGGAAGGGGGCTCTCCCCCACCACCGCCCAGCTCCCGTGGGGGCAGTGGGCCTCCAATCTTGTGTTCACCCAGGGCCCCAGTACACCTTAACCTGCCTCTGCACACATGCAACCAGCCATGGGAAAGCAGCGTGAGGTAGCTGTGTGGGGTGGCATGCAGCAGTGGTGGTGGCGTGGGGTGGTGGGTGGCAGCAGTGGCATGCAAGCCCCACCCCACATCTGGCCACCGCCACCAGAAGGGGTACACTTCTTTAAAAAGGTTGAAAACCCCTGCTCTACAGTAGTTTACTGTAAAGTAAATCCATGCCAGAATAAATGCATGTGTAGACATATCCAATGAGCCTGCTTCAAAAGGTGGGCTACAGAAAAAACTGGACAATGCCTATCCTCTCCTGATGGTTAGAGCACTATCAGGTTGGATTTTGTGATACTTAAATTTGAGCAGTCTTTTATTAACTGTTCCACTCATTTCAACAGTGAAGTATATGAGGCAGGGACAGGTGGAATAGAAAGAATGTCCACTAGCTAATGTATTACATGGAGACCCACAAAAATGCCATGCTATCTTGGGTTTTGCCACAGATTTTCTATCTACTGCTGGTTAAGTCAAACAAAACAGAATTTTCAAAAGTATCTGCTAACTAGATATCTCATTCCTACTGAGATACCAAGGGCTAGTCTCATAAGGGGTAACTGCTAAAATATTGAACAACTATCCCATTCACTGGACAACATACCTACTGAGAAGTGTGCAAGGAAAGAAGCAAACAGACAAACAAGGGCTGCATGAGGTAGGGTCATGAAAATTTGATATAGGAAGTGACAGAAAGCCACTGAAATGACTGCACGATGCAGCTGACATGCTCGAAGTGAAAGGTGAAGGGGACAATTTAGATAGCAGCTTGATAGAAGGGTTCCAATGTTGGGATCAAAAAGACCTGAGAAAAGATAACAGTAGTTGAAGTAGGAGATAATTAGGGCATGGACACCTAACTTGATTATAGGGACAGAAAGGAAAGAGAGGATTTTAGAAATATTGTGGAATGAAAAAGTTAACAACACTTGGCCATAGGTTAAATGTAGGCAGAGAAACCTCACAGTGCTTTTGCACAACCATAATTCACCTTGGATGGAATTCAATCTGGTTAGAGGGCATAGCAATGACTACTAAAATTATCACTTACCCCATAAATGTGTTTCACTGAGAAAATAAGTATCAGCCACCTAATAGAAAAAAAGTTCTAAGTTAATTTTAAAATTGTCAATAACAACCTCACTACACAATACAAACTCTAAAAAGTGAAAAGTGCTTAAACATAATTTAGGCAGGTTTGTGGTATGGTAACATCAGTTTCAAGGAAATATTTTTAAAGGATTATATATCACAACAGAATAGGTAGTGCACTCTACAATGTCGTTAGTTTTAAGGCTGGCTTCACAACAGCATGGGGGAACTAAGATGCTGTGAAAGTCATGCTAAAACCTTGCAAGGAAAGCATAAAAATATAAAAATATGCAATACTGGGTCAGATCAATGGTCCATCTAGTCCAATATCTTGTCTCTGACACTGAGTAGTTGATACTTTAGAGGGAGAGTATATGAAAAGGGCATGCCTGTATAAAAACGGATATGTCTCCAACTGTTGTGTTTAATAGATATTACTGGACCAGTCTTCCACAAATTTGTCTGATCCCTTTTTGAACCCTGGTTATACTACCTGCCTCTATTAGAGGTGCACTGCATTGGTCCATATCGTATCAGCACTGATGAAAGCAAAATTGACATTATTGGCAATCGGCTTTTTTTGGCTGATGAGGCCAATAATGTCGCTGATAAATGCCACGTGAATGGGCATAGCCACAGCATGAACATGGCCAGGAGTGCAGCCTGGCAGCTTGGAGAGCAACGTCCAGCTGGTAAATTTGTTGGGGGGAAGGGGCATGGGGGAGAGAAGGGCATGGGGGGCCAGATCGAGGCCCCTGCAGTGAGGGAGGGAATGAGGCTGGGGCAGGGTGGGGTGCAGGATGAAATTGTGAATGGCTGGTCCAGGGCATGTGGGGGGAGGAGCAGCTCCCACTGCTGTGCACACCCCTGGGGGAGGCATGAGGACCCATGTGCCCCCCAAGTCTGTGTGCGGGTTGAGGGTGGGCTGCTACTGTGGGCTGTGGCCAGGGGCAGCGCTGGGTCTTTTCAGTGGGGGGTGTTGGGCTGGGGCAGCGCTCAGGACAGGTCATGGTAGCCTTGGAAGAGGGGGCTACAGGGTGGACTATAGCCACCCCAAAATTCACTGCAGCCCTCCTCCCAGTGCTGCCACTTCCCACCCCAGTGCAGCCTCAGCCCAATCCTCCTGCTGGGGAAGAGCCCAGTGCCATCTCTGCCCTCACCCCGCACAGAGATCCAGAGGGCATACAGTCCCCCATGCCTTCCATGGGGGTGTGCGCAGTGGGAGCTGCTCCCCACCCCCATGCCTACTGGACCGGCCACTCACAGCTCTGTCCTGTGCCCTGCACCATCCTGGCTGGACAGCGCCTACCCCAGCTCCAGCCCCACTCCCTCCCTCACCATGGGGGCCTCGATCTGTCCCCCCATTCCTTCCCTCCCCCCACCTCTTCCCCCCAACAGACTTACCAACTGGACACTGCTCTCCAAGCTGCTGGCACCCGGGGAAGCCAGGAGCTTCCCCTGGCTGCTGGAGAGAAGCAGAGCAGGGCATTAATAGCATGCATATATGTGCCCACTGGGCTAAAAATCTTCAATTTATTCAGTGGTCGCTGATGGCTGCTATGTGTTGATTCAGGGTATTTTCAACTCTTTACCAAGTCTCTATCTTCTGAAGTGAGGTCTTTTTTACCTTAATTAAATGGCTTTGAGAGTATTAAAATAAAATAATTTCAAATAATAATTTCCTGTTACATTTGTCTTTAACTATTTACATCATACTCCCTGAAGGTTCTCAGAATGTTTCTCTTTCATGTGGTAACCTAACACACTTATTCAAAGACAGTCTTTCTGTCATTATTTCTCTGTTCCTGACCTCTTAATCATTGTAATGCATTCATATTTTTCTCAGTAAAACAGATCTAACAGAACTGGCTTTCTCTCGCTGTGTCTTAAAATATTTAAACACCTAATAGTCGAGTAGCATAGCACCTTTTACCAAGGAATCTTTCATGACAGAAATAAAACAAGTTAATTAACTGGCACGTGGAGAGTACATATTATTTAGCATTAGATTTCTTGTTGCCGTCAGGTGTGTGACCATGCTTTTCAGATCTATGAGTAAGCACGGTACTCAAAGAATGGTAGCTATACACTTTCACAATTCTGCATTCTCAGTTTAAGTAAACACAAGATCTTAGAGACAGAATAAAGAAGAGGCCTGTAAAACTTACCAGGGAGCTATAATCTGTTTAATCCACTTAAAAGAATACTTTGTTAGCGCCATTTACACAAATTGTAGTTCTTTTCTTTCCCTCTGTCTATTAGTGCTTCTCCATGCTACTTTTTTGCCTCTGAACCTGTTTAGATTAAAAATTCAAATACACGGTATGAGTATGTATATATATGATGCTGAACTGTGTCTCACTCATTGAGATGCATCAATTACAGGATATTGCAGTATACTTACTTCTGGCTAGGATATGATATCTTTATTTGTTCTGGATGGCACCTCATTCTGCAAGTTCTGTTCCATTTAGTTCCATAGGACTATTTGTCAATTAGTATAAATCAACATAAGGGTATCAGATCTGATCCTCAAGAAAAAAAAATCTTGAACAAATAATATCCGAATGCATTATACTAACAAGTTACTGCACGTTAGCTTGGTTAAAAGGCAAGCACAGAGTTTATCTGAGCTCTCAATAATGACCACATGAGCTAAAAAAATCATTGGAAATTTGGCCATACTTTCAGAGCTCAAGATATCTTTTAGAAACAATGGTGTTTTTTTATTTTAAGTTGCATATATTTTTATCTCATGAAACAGGCATGATAGTTGGATTAATGCCAGCTATAGTGAAAAACTACCAAAGCATTTTCACCTAAATACTGTTTTTTCTACTTTTTCTAACTTTCTCAAGCTTTTGTTCTCAAATGTTGAAATGTTCCAAGTTGGGATTTGAATTTCTGGGAATGACTGGGCAGAGGAGAGAGGATTGTACAGGTGTTAAACTTAGAAGACCAGCATTCAATCCCCAGGGCCCTTGGCTTTTCTGGGCCACAGTTACCCATCTGCAGTACCTCCCTTCCTTATTTTGCAATAATGTAAATACATTTAAGACTATGGAATACTCCAATACTATGATGCCGAAGGCCATATAATTACTTCAGATAATAAATACATCAGTTGTTTTGAAAAGAAAACTAAAAAATGTTAGGTATTGTAGAAATCTCTTATTTTTCTCCTCATTCCATTTACTTTTCTAGTGAAAATTCATTTTGATTTGAATGAGTTTGAAAAAAGACTTCAAAACCATTTCCTATGAGCAAAACACAAATCAGTTTACTTATGTTTAGCTGCTTTGTTTCACAACCATGAAATCCTTTTATAGTTTAAATCTTTTTCAGGACAAGTTTCTCATCCAATACAGTTCCGCATGCTTGGAAGCCAATTTAAGAGCACAGGAACTATATTTTTTTAAATTTAGATTAATTTAACATGCCAATACCATGCTCTGAGGACCTTCTATATAGTATAATGCTCACCAGAGTTACCTCAACAGATTTATTGGATAGTAGCATAAGTAACCTGACAAAATTCACACAAGCCGCACCACAGCAGAAGTAAGTTTTATATAAATATTCCAAACCCTCAGCATACATCATTTCTGACTTCCTAGAGGGAAAAACAGGCCTTGTTATTTGACCTAAAGAGTAACAAAATCAGCTTCCATTAGACCAAAGAAAAATTAAATGCCATAATCAAGGACCCTGATACAGAGGACATAGCACAACTAATTCCATGCCACCACAGAGACCCAGATTCCTGCATGATACTGGAAACCCAGGACAAATACTGTCCCAGAGCCATGCAGCCCAGGACCAGTACTTGATGTTCCCATTTTGGGTGGTTACCCTACCCTTTTCCTGAGCAGGGTCAGGGCCCTTGGGCCCCCATGTACTCAGTGCTTATGCTAGGACCCAATTTTTCAGAAAATGTAAGATATTATAGCACAGTATGTGTTCATCACTCATCTAGCCAACCACAGTGGCAGTTTAAGTACTTGACATTTCTGCAAGTCAGGACACAGGTGTCTAAAGTTGATGAGCAAGAGAATTAGAAACGTTTTTGGAAATACTGTTTTATCCAACTTGCCCAATACCACAACGGATCTCTATGGCAGAGACAGAGATAGAATCCAGATCTCCAGGGCAGTATCAGCTGCCTAAACCATGAAACTATCCTTTTCCTTCATACGGTTCCCTGCCTTATTGATCATATAAATTCCAGTTGTTGGCACAAATGAGACAAGGATCCTATGGATGACAGCCTCTTTCACTACCCAACCCTGATTTGTTTCCTCCTCCCTTATTTCTGTGAGTGAGGCAATATTCGTGTAGAAAATATAGTATGTGATATAATTTAATTATAGACTATATCATAATGCATACACTCCAGGGGCAATCTTAATTTTGGTTGCACAGGTGGCCTTTATTTTGGCATTCCTAATTCTAGAGCGCTGGACTTTACAAACTTAACGTCTCTCTTAAAAATTTATTTTACATTAAGATTCCATCCTGTGGAATAATTTTGACACCATAACAAAGGTCATCCACAGGGTTCAGATCTTCTGGTCCGCAACAGTCCACCACCAGCACTGCCTCCAGGATGCCCTTCTACTCCAAGGAGGGGCTCGGGCAGACACCCCGATCCCTAGTGGGAACCTGCCAGCTACGTCCACAGCTGATGCTGGCACCTGCCTGGTACTGCTTCTGGACCGTGTGCTGATATAAGTTGTGGGGATGTGGTGCAGGTGAGAGACAGACAAAGGCAGTCCTGCCCATGATAAGTGGCAACAGCCAGTGCTGGGTGCCAGGAAAAAAGCAGGATCTGGTGGTGGGAGCCCTTCTGGCTGTGGTTGCCTGGAGCCCATGCTGGAGCTGCCCTGTGGCTCCTATCTGCTGCCACTGCTGCCCCACAAAGGCCCAGAGATGGCACTGATGTTGGTGGGGAGGAGCTGCAGGACAGCCCCAGTGCAGGCTCTGGGCAACTGCAGCCGGACAGGCCTCAGCAGCAGCAAACATGCACACTACCAGGTCCTGCTTTTTCCCCGAGTACCCAGCACTGGCTGCTACCGCTCATTGTGAGCAGAGCCATCCCTCTCCCCCTCCGCCACCCCAGCCATCCCACGCCTACAGCACATCGCTGCTGTGTTGCCTGTGCCACCGCCCCCCCGCCCCATGAGTTGCCTGTGTCCACCCTCTCTTGCCCCCATAGACTCACCTGGAGAAAGCTGTTCTCTACCACATTGCCTGGCTACCATATGCATGTGGCGCCCCCACCCCCTTTGTCTCGCTACCCCCAGTCCCAAGCAGCCCCTTGCAGGCTGGAACTCTGCCAGACTGTAAGGGGGAAACCCACAGTTTCCCACAGTTTTTCTGCATTTTCCCATGGCAAATGGAAAACTTGGATCCCTGGTCATCAGTGGAGTAACCAGTAGGGTTATACATCTTGTCTGGAGAAGCAGCTGTGTTAGTTGTTGCTTAGGTGGGAGATGAACATGCTCCTGTATTTTCAGAAGGCAGAGCAGGGTGGTGCTTTATAAAGCAGGGGTCAGCAACCCCCGGCCCGCATCTCAAGCATGACACGTAAGGCCATTTTGCTCAGCACACCACCGCTAGCCCGGGCGCTAAGCAGCTACTGCCAGCCATGGAGCCCAGGCTGTTGCCCGCCGGGCCAGCAGTGGGCGGGGAGGCTGCAAGCCCTGCTGCAAGCAGACTGGGCTCCATGGGCCGGCTGCAGCCGGGAGGCTGCAAACAGCTGCTCCGGGCACCAGCATGTCGGCACTCCAGCACCCTCCAAGGTAGACATTGTGGTTTTTTCATCACTCCAGCCAAAAAATGTTCCCTACCCCTGTTATAGAGACTTATACTTGACCAGTTAGTCTATAAGGTGCTACCCTCCCCTCCCTTCTGTCTGATTTCAGACTAACATGGCTAACTACCTCTTTCTAATTATGTTTTACAGTTTAGCACACAGGATGTCTGGAATTAAGAAATACAGAGGTAACTGTCTAATGGTTACAGACGTTCTAATCCCGTTCTCCCAAATCTCTACTTGTTCTTTGCTACTTCCGTCCACCCCTGTGCCAGCTCCCGCTGTCCCTTTGACTCTTGTCATTTTCCTTCCCCACCTTGCTTCCTGCTCCTGCAGGTCTGCTGCTAGCCCTCAGCCCCTTCGCTTGCTGTCTCAGCCCCTGCAGCCTTGGATGGAGTGTGTTCAGTTGCCCATTGGGAATGGGGTATGCAGTCTGGCCAGCATGAGGGAGTCCAGCCTGCTCAGGGAAACAGAGGATCTTTAGAAACAGGGATCTTTAGAGCAGGGGTGTCAAACTCACTCTGGAGACAGCAAGCGAAGGGGCTGAGGGCTAGCAGCAGACCAAGGCCCATGGTTGGGTAGAAGTTGTGATATGTAGCTAGGAGGCTAGAAGTTTAGTTATAGCCAGAAAGGCTTATGTTTTCATTTCAGTTTGGTCCAGTCATTGGGTGGGACTGTGAGGGGTGGCTTTGGTAGTCCCATTAGTGCCTAAGACAGACACAAGTACCTTGAGCCTGCCTGGAAAAGGTGCAAGGCGCAGACTGGAGGCTGGTAGGCCCAGAGCAGAGCTAGACTTGGGGGGTCAGAGCCCGAGAAGGGCAGGACTTGGACTTTGGGGCCAGAGGGCCTGGAGTCCTCAGCATGGCAGGACTTGGGGTCAGGAGGCCCAGAGGGCCAGATAAACAGCTCGGACCCAGAAGCTCAGTCCAGTACAGCTACGCTGGAGCTAGAGGGCTCAGCAAGAGAAAGGGGCGGAGGCCGAGAAGGTGGAGGCTCAACACAAGAAAGCCAACAAGAGAAATGATTGCACAAAGACTAGCTCTAGGACCCTTAGGCAGCCTCCCTCCCGACAAAACAGTAACATCGAACCAGGGGGGACAAGCCTAGAGCTACAGCGGGGCAGGGACTGCGTGGCCACCAGCGGGCCTTGCGGCACCCCGGGAGGCGAGCCTGCTCCACTGACACATTAGGGCTCAGACGACAAGAACAGCAAGTCCTTAACACATTCCTGGTGGCACAGGGCGGGCAGTCCCTAATGCCCCGACTTGTGGCACCTGCGTGCTCGCTGGGCTGAGCGCCCCCCTGCAAGCCAGGCGGGCGAGGGCGCGGGGGACAAAGATCTCGAGACAGGGACGTGCTGTGGCAGCGCAGGGGCTGGCGGGGCCCGAGGCGCTGGTTACAGGCAGGGCGCGGGGCGGACGACCCTCCCGCCTGTGCCCCCGGCCCTGTGC